CTGTCAAGATTAATATATTTTTCTGTAGTGCAAACAGGTCTGCTATAGTTTTGTTTCTGAAAGCAAACATGTTTGCTTAATCTTAGCAGTTGCCCATTGCATTGCCATGTGTAGCTAGCCCTGGTTTTACTGGGCACTCTGCTTGCTTCCAAGGCTTCCAGAACTCTCATCTGGACATCTTCATCCCTCAGCCCTCATTTTATATCAGGTTTCTTGGAACGCCAGGTTATTGATGGCTGCCTTATCAGGCGGCGTAAAACAAGTTTGCTGCTCTGAAATGGAAACGTTTGCTAGAGAATATCCATTTGTGTAGCTAGAGAGAAGGGTGGCATATTTATGAGCACTAGATATGCACTTAAAGCTGAGTGCCACCAAATGCCACGTGCCACCCCGAATGCAGGGTTTCTGTGCACCTGGCATCCCAGTTCAAGCCCTCTTAACAAAGAGGAGAAAAAAGGGAAGGCAACACAAATGTAGGAGGTGTTCCTCTGCTATCAGCTAACAGCTATAGATTTGCCTTTTTGTGATGTGATCCTCGCTTTATTTATTTATTTTTGCTGCACCTGTTCAGGATACGGAATTCGGTGGGTTTTTACAGGGAAAAATATGGGCTTGTGACTGTCATTTGCATGTTCTTTCTTTCAGTTGAGACTGCTGGCTTTATTCAGGGGAATGTGGCAATCACGGCTGTACATAATTTCTGCAGAAAACAATGCTGTATTTCTCGCTTGAAAATGGTCAGCTAACCTTCTGCCTTCTTGGCTCCATTTATCCTACCTTCTGAGGGAGGCAGTTGGTGAACTACTATCTTAGCGCTTTGTAATGACTTGTATTAGGTTTCTTATGGTAAAGATTTTAATAAAAGATTGTATTATTCAAAAAAAAAATAAGACATGAATAGATACTAGTTTTGCATTCAAAGTCTTTACTTTTTTACATTCATCTTGGTAGGTTCTTACAAAATCATGAAAAGAATAGCTCCTTAATACTAGTTATACGCTTCAGATACTCTTTTAGTTTGAAATAGATTGTTCTTAAAATAGCATTTCTGTTGGCCAGATCTGCTGCTTGAACTTATTTATATTATCTTCATTCTAGTGATAAAAGCATGTGCTTATATTGTGGAACTGAGCTTCCCTGAGTAGAGACCTATCCATCAGCAATGCACATGATGAGTACCAGGTTTAGGATGTCTACCCTAGGGGATGTGTTGCCTGCATTGCTTGTACATGCCCTTGACACCTTTCTGGGTGCCTCTAAGTGTTGTAGTCTCTCGTTTATCTGTTTAGAAGATCTCATTTCATCTTTAAACATTCTTTGCCTATGTTTCTCTTCTGCTAGCTGCTTCTGTTCATTCCTGTCTTCCTTTAGGCTCCCTGCTCTGTTCTGTACAGCAGAGTAGTCCTGAACTTGCATGTCCTTCCTTGTATTGCTCCTCTACCCTAAGCAATCCCGGAGCTGAAAGTCAGGTAAGGGAATTGTGCTCAAGATACCGTCGACAGCAATTTTAGTTCATTGCTACTTTTTCTGTATTCAAATATATTTCAGGTACAAACTGTAAAGCCTGGTACTCTGGGTTAAGCTCTGACCCTGTTAACATCTATAGGAATTTTACTGTTTAGCTTAATGAGACAATTTTCTCCCTGTGTGTGCACTGGCCCTCACTTTTATTTGCAGGGTGCATGACTTCTTGAGTTAATGATTTTCGGCTGCTGCTTGCACCTTTTTTTTTTGTACGTGCAGTGCTACTAGGAAATCTGCGGTGTTCTTGCCTGTGAGTGTGTGGGGTCTGATCTGTGCTAGTTCACGAGACCGCCGTGCAGAGCAGCGCGCACCCCGCGGCTGAGAGGAGTTTGCAGACATGGTAGAGCCGCGCGTATAAAACCGCAGTTCGGTTTGTTTGCAAGGAGCTTTAAGGAGCGAATGTGCGTTTAGGCTCTGTTCTGACTCCCTCAGCAGATATTCCAGGGGCTGCAGTAGACTTTCACAGACTTTCCCCACAACTTTTTAAAATCTTTCTAGACATCATTTGAGCTGTTTTTGTGATAACTCTTTTTTTTCTTTTATTCTATATTTCACATCTGACCAAGTCCTACCAACTCCATATGTTGCAAGGAGCAATCTGAGGTTGCTTGTTTGTTTAAGACTCCGTTAAAGGAAGTGGTATCTTTAAACACCATAGAGCAAGCACAGAAGGGCTCCACGGAGAGGAAAGCCCAGATGCTCCATCATGGTCTGTCATGCTTTCCATGTGTCCCACAGGCAGCATCTTTCCTCAGCTCATCTTGTAAAAGTGCCTAATTCCTTATGCTTGTGCCTCCTTAGACTCACAGTAGTAGATGAGTCTCAATTTTTTTCCCCCTCTTTTCCCTCTCACCAGGCCCACATCTTACAGATTTGTTTATGGCATGCTCTAGTGTCCTGTGATCCTTCTCAAGTGCAAGTGTCAGTCCTTTTTCCAGGTGTAGGTTTCAATTAAACCTTTAAGAGAAAACACAAATTACTTAAGAAAAGGCTGGCTCACTTCTGACTTGCCAGTGATTATTTTTTCTTTGGGGTTAGACCCTGCGAGGTACTGAGCACCCACTAAAGGCGTGTGAGATCCAAACTGGGTGTCATGGTACCTCATAGGACCTCCTTCATCAAAAGAAATGGAAAAAACACACTTGCATGCCATGACATTAATGAGAATTTTCCCCCCTGCAAACATACTGTAACTGTGAAATAACATTAAAGTTTCTCTGCCTTGTTATGAAGTATTTAAATGTCAATGCCATTTCTGAGACCATCAGGGCAATTTTAATGGCAGCCAAGGTCAACAAATGCTAACTGGTACCTCTCTTTTAGGGCCTCCAGGGACTCCTAATAGAGTCTTAACCGTGAAGTTAATTTGTGACTTGGACCTTTATTCTTGAATCTGCTCTTGATGGTTATTTTGTGCCATCTTCGTTCATGTGCTTAGATTTCTTATCATTCTCCTTTCTCTTCGGTCAGAAAAACAAACTGCTAAATATATTAAAAAAAATAAGTTATTCTACTTCTTTTTTTTTTCTTGCCTACTTTTGTTTATGGGCTGGAGGAAAAATAAGTATGTGTATTCTGTAGACCACTCTACTCTGTCAGCTCTAACAGGATCCCTTAAGAATACCCTCTCATCTCCCGACATCTTCTGTCGTGGGCATTTAAAAAAACTAGACATCTTGAAACCCTTTTTTCTGTTGTTCCTCTGAGTAGTATCTTTGTAAAAGCAGGTGAAGTGGGATGTAAGAGGCAGAATGTAACCACAGGATTCTCTTACTTTCCTTTTTCTGCTGTTGGTCATTTCTGTGTGTTGTCTAGTTTGGATTACAAGGTCTTTATAGCCTTTACTTGTCTAGAAATAGTGCAGAAAAGGATGGCACACTACAAATAATAAATAACAAAAGTCTGTCTTTTTGGCAGCATGTTGCATTTCTGCACAGTTGCCCTGCCAGCCCCTCTGGCTTTAAAATATTTTCATGTCCTGCACTTTGCACCCTGTCCATGCACCTGACTTTCCTCAGACATTTAGTACTGACATTAATGCAAATGCCTCCAACTCATGGGGCCCTTTGGGGCAAGACATGACATCCATTGCTTCCTGTTATATGATGGAGAAGATGTGTTTTTTTTGTATCAACAAATCTGGAAATAATAAAATATCAGTATTCAGATGCTAATCTACATTAATTCATATTCTGTGAAGTCTACAGGAAACTTGTAATTGGGTGCCTTGAAGGGCAGCAGAGTATATTTGGGATTTGTTTATTTATATATAAAAACAAGTATTTAAATAATACATATAAACATTGCATAGATTTGGATTACATCTCTCTCCTAATCCTTGCCGTGTGCTGATTTGCATTCTTAAGTTCTAGGGGTTTGAGGCTTCCTGGTTTTCTTCCACTGTATGTGGACAATTCCTGAGCATTTTGTAAGCATTTTGAGAGTTTAAATAATATTTTTCTATACATCACTGATCACCAAACTTCACTGCTGCTAAGGTGGTTTAGTTATCTTTAACAAACCTGATTTATCGATTAGCAAAAAGATATTTGTCAAAGGTCCCAAAAGCTGGGCGAGTTTAAATTCAGTATTATTGAACTTAATGCACAGATGTGGAAACAGAAAAGTAAGTGCCTGAATCTGCTATTCTGATGCACGTAACAACTCGAATGTGGAGCTACCTAGATGAACCACGGTGCAGAGATACTCCAGCATGGAAGTAGGATTTTGATTTCTGTTGCATAATGTCCACAAGTATAACAAAACCACTGAAATTTCCTTGCACTAGGTTGACAAATGTGAATTATGGTTGCTTTCTTTCTTCAGAATTTTATCAGAGTGTAATCACTTGCCCAACTTAATTGAAAAATCACTTACGTTTATAGCAGAATTTAAACATGTTTTGTATTTAAATGACAGCTTTTGATGTACAACAATTTTTTACTGAAAGTAGTTGGTTTTTATCTGTGTTTCTGTAAAGATATTTCAAAAACTCTCATCAAATTTCCAGCGGTAAGTAATATCCCATTCAGTGCAAGGTGAAATGTTTTACATCAAATCTCCTGCTGTGTAATGGCCAATCAAAAAGTATTTATAGTGTCTGAATGGATTTTTTGGCTCAGTATTCAAAATTAAACATTTTCAAACATTAACATTTAATGTTTTTGCCACTCTTCAAGTTGATTTTATGTAACCCTAGATGCTCGCAACTACTTGATACTCAGAAGCGACTCATTTTACGTTGAGGATCCTGCAGGCAGTAGTTTTACATTTATTGCACTTGTGTAGATGGAATGAAATGTAGATTTGATAGCAGACTTGTTTCTGTCTTTTGATAAACGTATTCTCAAATTGGGCTGTATGTTCCTCAGCATGATGCAGCAAGTCTAATTCTGAAAGAATGTGTTCACCCTATGAAATTCATGGGCAGCGATATATATTTTTTAATTCACCAGAAATTGTTGTTCTTATTGCAGGCATCCTGTAAGAAGAGCTCATGCCAGCAATGGTGTTTGGAGCTAAATGGTTCCTATCTAGGTATGATACGACCACAAACTTCTTATAAGAACAATAGTGCATCAAAGACCGGAAGCCCAGGCCATGTTGCTTTGTCCCAACCTTGCAGAAATAATTTTGATTATGGGACTGAAATCCATCACAGCCATCTGCCATGTCTCAAGGAATGTCAAGTGGACAACGGCTTGCATAGGAAGTGTAACAATATGATGTCCTCAAGCAAGCAAATGAGCCCTCACCGTGTGAAACCAACCCAGCCCACAGAGCAGAAAGGAAACGAATTGCAGAGCCCGTGCCCTCAGCACAAGAGTCACTGCTGCACCTTTAGGCATATAGGAAGCCCAGGTAATGTCCAAGAGAGCCACCACGTCAGCCCGGTGCCTAGAAGACATTCTGGACCAGTTCACGATATCTGTGATTATTCTAGGCTCTCTCAAGCTTCTGGGCAAAATAGCAGCGCATATACTGAGTCTAAAGAAGCTTCCTCTAAAGAGGAAGCTAAAAGGCTCTCTGAAGAAAGAAAAAAGCAGCTTCTTTTGCAGAAAATGGAGCTGGAAGTCGAAAAGGAGCGGCTCCAACATTTGTTGGCGAAGCAAGAAGCAAAATTACTGCTAAAACAACAGCAACTCCACCAGTCCCGTATGGATTATAACAGGTGATTTTTGAGATTGATAGTAGTTTTAAAAAAAACTAAAACTTCTAATAAAGCTGTAGACATGGGCAGCAGTTAAAGTAGGGGAGTGAAACAGAAATTTATTCTAATAATGATTTAGAGGAGAGGATGCTTTTTAGTATATTAGAATATACTGTTGAGAAACAGCGGGACAACTGTGGAAAGCAGCAGAGGAAAACAGTATGTGGTAGAAAAAAAGGTGGAAGAAAAGCAGTGCTAAAACACTAGGTAGGAAAAGAAGAGCAGTGGAGAAAAATGAGACTAATATTAGTGCAGGCACTTTTTAAAGGAATGTGGACATTAAGCAAGAAAACACTGAGTACGGAGGATGGAGACAGGGCATTTCCTTTCCTTTCCTGAAAGGTCAGTTCTGAAATTCTATGCAGGGTTTGGAAGCTCTGTCTTTTACAGAAACAGCTTTTTCTGTATGGAAAAAGAAGGCCATCTTCCTTGCTTCTGCATTTGTGCAAGAGAGGATGCCAAGACTGAGGCATAGCACATACTTGAAACCAGAAGAAGGGAAAGGCAGTAACCATAGAAATAAAGACTGTGGCTTGAAAGGCGCTCAAGCTTCTTGCAGAAGGTGAGATAAGACTTCTTGAAAATGTAAATGGTGACTGACGATAGAGAGGAACTGATTTATTGTATCACCTTATGTAGGCTGGGGAGGCAGGGAGAGAAGGGTAGAGCGCTAAAGCCACAGAAGGAAGAGTTGTGTGAGCCAGTGTGATGCAGCTGAGTACAAGGGTTTCCACATTAGGAAGGGAAAACAGTGGGGAAAATCTAGCAGTCTTTTAGACGAAGCAGTAGGAGGGTTTCAAAAGAATGCTGATTTAGATACTATTTTAATATGGTAACTGCTTACAGCATCCCACAAGAGTCTGCGTTGAGTGACCCACTTCCTACATGCACATAGTATAACCACCACAGAGGAATACAGCACTTTTTTGTTTCTTGATGCCAGCCCTCCAGTTACTTTCCAAACACTAAAAGAGAACGCTGAAACCGAGGTGGTCTTTAACATGCCTTTTTGTACTGTGCCTTAGATGGAAGGGAGCATGTTTATTTAGCTTTTAAAATGCCTGTTTTATCAGAGGCAATCACAATTCTGTGTGTGTTGAAAATGGCCGAGGTCACAAACAAAGGATTATGACTTCAGGTGATAAATAAGCAGGAACAGATGGATTCTTAATCATCAAATACCTTAATTCTAGGCATGTGTCCCTCTAATGAAAAACAAGTAGAATATGAAGGACATACAGGCTGAGCTTTTTTTTTTTGTTTTTCTCCCCCTTAAATGGATAATTTTAAGCTTTCTGTGAGGCATCATCTGCCCCCCAAAAAGGGACATTAATGTGCTTCCTCTGAAAATATACATTTATGTATATTTATTTTATATATATAGAAATTTATTTAGAAGTAAATGTTTGGTATTTAAGAGTGGCTGTCTTAAACATCACTGTTCTGTTTCAGTTCTAACTATAGGATAATTGTATGCACTGCAGACAAAAAATTCATTTGCCTAAGCTCAGATACCTTTTGCTTCCTTGTCAGGAGGCTTTAACCTAGTTCATTTCTTACAATAATTGACAGTTAAAACCAAAACCACAAGATATTAACAACAAAAATTCACCTTCCAAAACTAAAAGTGTGTATTTTTGACTAACCTTCTGCATTGATAGAGTCCTGTTTAAGGCATGAGCTACTGACACTATTGTCATTGAATCATAAGCAGGAGGTCTGACCATTTGCAATTATTGGCTATTTGCTCTTCTATTTAGCAAGATTATGAACTGAATCTTTTTATTTTGGCCACAGTGCGTCATATCTGCATTGTAATTCCCCACTTTTCCGTATTTAGCTCAAGTGAGCAACTTCAGTTGCTCTTTCTCTTCATGTGACATAGCTGCTCAGCTGTCAAAAAGAGTGGTGTGGGTGCAGGGAAAAGGCGCAGTCAAACTGAATGGATGAGAATTCTAGAAATGGCAGAATATTGTTTCTTATTAATAGGGTTGCATCTGGGTGGGTCCTGGAAACGGGATTTTTATTCAAATAAAAAGGGAAAGCTATTTTATTGCCTTCACTGGGGAAAAAGATGTTGTTCTCCATTAAAACTGACTATCATCTGTGGGCCCATAGTTTCTGGAGACAGACCCATCTCTGGCATTTTATGCAGCTTTCATGATGCCTTTGTGCTCTGGTGCTGCTGGAGCTGTAAGCTGAGCCAAACAGGAGTGTTTGTTAATGGATACTGTGACCAGGCACTCAGGGGAGCAGGTCTTTTGAAATGAGTAAATTAAATTCTTCTAATCCTTTTTTCCTAATGGTAGCCCTCAGACGTAAAGCATTGGACATAAGGTACCTTTCCAAAAGACAAGTACTTTTGAAAAAGTGAGAACAGTTGTGAAAGCTTCTGAATTTAGCATGATGAAATGCCTTGCTTCTGGCCACACATCTTAGCGTTTTGTGATGAGTTCCTAGCATGATGATTTCACTAGCTGCAGAGCCAGTTACCTCTGCTTTTGCAGGTTGAAAGGCCAAGAACTTGGTTTGGAAGATGTTCCCATTGGTGAAGCACCAGGAGAACTTGGTTTGATGATGAATGGCACTGACGTGAGACTAAGGTAATTTTTCTCTTTGTTTTTACGTATTTCAGTGTCAATCTATCTTCTTGACTCTGTCTGCTATTGACTGCACAGTCTATATGTTTATATGTTTGTTTTTTTCTCTCAAGACAAGATAAGATAACTTGGCCCTTGAGTTTGTGCGCCCAGTGCTGAACTCTTGCTGCACAAGATTTGGGGGTTTACTTCCTGTAGTGGTGTCTGATTTTGTTTGGCATCTTGTAAGATGCTACTCTAGCTCAGTGCAAAGTGGAGTTTTCACAAAATGTAATATTCTCTTTATATTTGTTATTTATCATTTAAGATGAGAATGTCTCTTTAGTCTTCATTTGGATCTGAGGTAGCTAGTATATTTATTTGCCTTTAACTCATAGATAGAAATAAGATTACAAATAAGTTTCCAATGAAGTATTGTTACACATCTTTTAAATGTAAAAATCTTCTACTGCTGTGGAGTTTCATGCTTTTTAAAAATACAATACTGCACCTGTACTTCAGAGTAATCAGAGCCAACTACCACTGAAAGAAGTGGGAAATAACTGAGTTAAGCTAATATTTAGTTTTATCTCAATTTTGCATGCCATTAAACTCTCATATGAATATATTATTACTATTTTCTTTATTATACCTTGTTGCATTTCCTGTTACCACCAAAAGAAGATACTAGCATATTAGGAAAAAAAAAAAAAACAGCTGAAAAATGGGAATTATAATTTTTTTCTCTCTCTTCTGGAAAAAATTACAAATTCTTGTTCTCTGCTCTAACTGTGGTGACTCAAGAATCCCATTGGAGTAGTTGATCTTTGAGTGGCACCTTCCTTAAGGACAAGAGATGTCTTTAAAATAATAAGCTCTCCTCTCCACTCCAGCTATGACAATACTGGAAGAAGTGTTAATTTATTTATAAACTGAGGGTCAAGTGGTGCCTTTATGTTTCTTTTTAACCTCAGTTGTTATTGATTTTGTTTGTTTGTTTTGGGTTTTTCTTTTTGAGATCCCTCTCCACTGAAAAGGAAGGTTGTTGTCTTCAGAAGAACACAGGTGTTGGAATCCTTGCTGCTTAACTAGGTGCTCAGCTGCTATGCAGTCCTTGCATAATCCTCACTGTATTCTGACTTTTTTTTGTTTTATTTTCACAAAGACTGCAGTGATTAACATATGATCACTAACAAAAGAATCTTCATTTGATTAATGTGTTTCCTTGGAGGAAAAACATAATCTAGAACATCCGCAGGGCTTCTTGGTGACAGGTTGCCAAAAACCTGCAAAAAACTATCTAGCCTAGGAGAGGAAAAGAAGAAAACCTGTGCTGTTTACAAAATGAGAGTTCCAGATTTCCAAAGGTCCCAACCCTCTCTGCATTCCCCTGGTTAAACTTAGTGTAATTTTTCAAAGTTCGGGTGCGTTCGTGCAATCCCAAGCTGCCATACCAGCTGGTTGCAAAGTTTGGCAGCAAAGCACTCGCAAGTTTTTTCCTGTGTGCCGCCTTCAGCTTTGCAAAGGTTACCAGATGAATGCTCCGTAAATAATTTACTCTAATGTAAGGCTGAAAGAGGCTAAGGAAGACAAGTCCATTTGTCTCTCTTATGCATTTGAATATGTAAGCAATGTTTTCTTCAGTATAGAGAGAGTGTGCAAGTGTGTGTCTGGGGCTGAGAAAGGATAAAGGGATGGGAGGACTGTATCGACTTTGAGCAATTTTTTCCTTTTTTCCTCTTTTTTTTTTTTTTCCTTTTTCCTGTTGACCTTCCGAAAGGTCCTTGTTGCAGCAAGTGCTATCAGAAGCATCGTGGAAAATCAGCCCTCTCTGACCTCCAGCTCATACATGAAAGCTCCTAAAGCAAA